AGTTTACAGACAATATGTTCAAAATAGGACGAAGGGCGGTTCTCTCGGCACTCTAGAGACGGCGTTGTACCTTTGAAATGGAGGGAGCCAGATTAGAAGGGCCTGAGCTCACAGAAAGTATACAACACCAGATTCAAACAGAAATTGTTGTGAAATGGGAGGAGGTCAAAACACGGATCAGACTCTTGGACACGCAAAAAGACATCCAACAAAAAATAAAGGAATTCAGCTCAAACTGGCTTGGGGGACCCGATGGGGGGAAGATAGGGAAGGTAGAATGGAAAGGGGGACTTTTGGAATCAGGGGAAGACCAGGGGAGAACGGAGATAGTAAGAGACTGTCGATTGAGCTTCTACGAATGGACCAAGGTTGATGCGGCCATCCCCCTAAAACCCCCGGATGAATTCCCTGATTCCCCCCCCCCCCTCAAACTGCCTGGTGGAAATGATGTGGTATGGTGGATAAGGGGGAGAGGAGGAGGGTGTAGGAAGAAGGGAGAGAGGAAAGAGAGATCTATCTTGGAAGACGGGAGCGGGCAGGGGTTGGGGAACTAGTGTACAACAGCAGCAGATATGGCGCTGAGCACAAGGTGAAGAGGTTCTCCGACACCCTGCTCAGCCAATCCCTTGATCCCCAGGGCAATCAATGCTGGCAGGGATCACTAGGCTCTCATGTTAGTCAGACTATCATCATTCTCAGTTCATTCTCAGTTCATTGTACAGGGACGCTGGACCCTTTTTCCAGCAGGTGTTGCTCCCCACCAATAGATGGAGCCTCCCCGACGGTGCTAGCGGTGTCTGCTCTTATCAGCACCTCTAGCAACCGAGCGGGTTGTTTCCAAAACAAAACAAAAAATAAAAAAATAAATAAATAAATAAATAAAAAACAAAAACAATTGCACTATGGGGCAATATACAGTTTGCAATTGCACTTCGGGCACCCTACCTCGCCAAAAAGTTGGGTTGTATACATTGCCCAAACTGCACTTCAAAACTGTATCTTGGCCCATAGTGCAATTATAACTCATTTTTGTGACTCCCGCCTAGTTTCCCCTTTTTTTTGGAAGGGGAACTAAGTTTGAAAACAGAGTTTGAAAATACACGTTGGGCAAGAAATAGTTTCAAATTGCACTTTGGGCAATTAATACAAGCTAGCTTTCTGGTCAGGTAGAGTTACTTGGGCGTGTTCACTGTGTTGTGTTCGGGGAATGCCCCGAAGTGTAATTTCAAACTGTTTTTGTGACTGTACTGAAGTTACCCCCCCCCTTTTTTTTTCCTTTTGGGTCTTACAACTGATAAGACCCCACCCACTCTCTCTTGTCAATTCTTCCTGGCCCACCCCCAATCCCCCAGCCCTCCCTCAGTGCCTACCACTCACGACCATCACCCTGTAGTTTTGCAATTCTTTTTTTTTTTTTTTTTTTTTTTTTTTCAAACAACTTCCCCCACTAGTGTTAGTGGTGCTGATAAGAGCAGACACCCCTAGCACCTAGGGAGAGGCTCCATCTATTGGTGGGGAGCATCACCTGCTGGAAACCGGTCTAGCGTCCCATATACAGAAAGAATTTAGAGTATCTAAGAAAGAAAACTAAGGGGCTTCTGCCAGCATTGATTACCGTGGAATCCAAGGGATTGACTGAGCAGGCTATTGGGAAAGAGGAGTAAACCTCTTCGCCCTATAAGGCGCCAGATATCTGCTATTCCAAAACTAGTCCCTCGCCCTCCCCTCCCACCCGTTAAGTACCCAAACTTTCTTTTTTGAACTACTGTTATGCAGAGTCAATTCCGTACCACTTCGTTTCCACTAGACAATTAGATGGGGGGGGGAAGAAGTCTGGGAATGCTTCAGGGGGTTTCAATGGGATCGCTGCATCCACTTTGGTCCATTCGTGGAACCTCAAATGATAGTCTCTTACTAACTTCATTCCTTGTTGGTCCTCCCCTGATGTTGTGTATCCTCCATTCCATTCCACCATTCCTATCCTTCCTCCGTTTGCACCCCAAGCGAGCTGGAGCTAAATTCCTGGATTTTTTGTTTGATCTTTTTATGTCCGTTGAGGAGTTGGATTTGTGCTCTGACTCCATTCCATTTTGCAGTTATTTCTGTCTGGATCTGTTGCTGGACACTTTCTGTGAATTCGGGTCCTTCCAATCTCGCCCCCTCCATCTCGAAGGTGCAGCGTCGTCTCCAAAGTGCCCAGAGAATCGCCCGTCGTCCCATCCTGAACATATTTCCGGTAAATTCGTCTATCTGGACTAGCTGGTCTTTGGGCCAGGGTTCACACAATATGGTTTTCCAGTCCCAGTGCCATCGGGCCTTCGTTCCTAGTTGTTCCCACACCCTGTCCCACCATCTCCACAGCCAGAGTGCACCCGGACATTGGAGGAATATGTGTTCAATTGTTTCAGGTTGCCTCCGGGAAGGGAACGCGTTTGTGCACAACTTGCATCATGGGAGAACTCGCCCTTTTTGTTCCAGAGACGTTCTATCTATCAACCAGTTGTTTGTTGGAAGACAGCGGTGCTCTAGCTGCCATTGAAGTGAGGCCAGTTTGGCTGGCTTTGCCTTGGCCATCCTGAACCATCTAATTGATCTCAACTCCTCTTTGCTAATGTTCAGGTGATCTTTCCACCGCGCCTCCACTTGGTCCCGCAGAGCAGCTTTTGGTCTTAGGAGCATGTAGGCTGATTTGACTGTTAGGGCATATATGGACTTGGTGAATTTCTTGCCCTGCCTTCCTTGGGCTGACCATGACCACTCCAACGGGTCCAGGGCTAGATGGTGAAAAGGGGTACCGGGGTAGTAGGTTATCCTTTGCTCACGTTCATAGAGTACTTTGATTCTATATACCTCTTCTATTTGGCATATTAACGCTTTGTCGGATGAGCATTCTTGGATGACATTGTCTTGCCTCACTGGAGAGAGATGCACCACTACCGTTCCATCCGGGGAGCAGCGGACTACCCTGCCCACACATCCTTGCCGATTTTTAATAGCTACCCAGTCTAATTCTTGCAAGGTTGGGCCCTTACGGAGTATTCTCCACCATGCTAGTGGGATCATTTCTATAAGCGTTTCCAGGGCTTCGTATGGTCGGTGGCAGTACGACAGTCTCTATCGTAGCTGGTCGGGTCATATCCAGTCTTTTTTATTAGTGTCTCATATATCCTTTATCCTTATTATCTCTCTCTTGACCCAACTCTGCCAGGGGTATCTGTGCAAGGGAGCATCTAGCCCTTCAAGTCCACCACGCATTTGTTTCCAAAAAGGGGTTGGCGTGCTACTTCCTCTCATCTTTCTGGCGCTGTCCTATCTGGAAGGGGGAAACTTCTCCATGCTTTGAGGAGGGTGGACCAGAAGGGATAATTGCGTATGTCCGCCCTGACTGCTTGCCTAGGGCAGTCAGGACGGGGTTCCCTTTGTTCCGATCTCGGTCCTGGAATGGGTCATCCCCTGTTTTCCAACCACGTCAGTGGGTCGGTTTCGGCCCGTGTTTGTGGTGCTTATCTGGAGATCTGTTCCAGGGCTAATCCTCTCCAGGGGACATCAGGCTTAAACAGAAGGTTTTTAAGTCATTGTAGTGCCAACGCTTTAGTTTGTATGAGGGGGTCGATAATGTCATAGCCTCCTCTCGTTTTAGGTTGGATTATAAAATGCCATGCTACTCGACTGATTACATTGTGTTTCTCGTGGTCCCCACGCCACAGAAAGACGGCTATCTGACTCCTCAGTGGGCGTAAGGCATTCTTATCCAAAGCCCAAATAGCATATTTGTACCACATTGAGGCCATAACCACGTTGTTGATAATCAGCGCACGTCCAAACAGTGAGGTGTGCTTGTCTCTCCAAAGGGTCATTTTGGCCAGGGGCGGCGTAGAAATCCAATCATTGTTTATTGGCGGTCTGCCCTCTGCTGTCATGGAGATACCCAACACTCTGATGGGGGCTTCCTTGGGGACCCAATTGATTTTGGGTTGTTCTAGGGGTCTCCATCCTTGGTGGTGTATCCACCATCCCAGGGTTTTGTTTCCCCAGTTGACTTTCATATCTGATAGTATACAGAAGCGATCCATCATGTGTTGTACCTCTTCCATTGACTCTCTGGATGGGTCCACCATAAGTGTCAGGTCGTCAGCAAACAAGGAGCACACTAGGATTGCCTCTCTGGGAAACGCTGCAACTTGGATTCTTTGGATGTCTTTGTGGGCCCTTAGGTTGGCAGCTAGTGCCTCCATGACTATGACGAAGAGGTAAGGAGCTACAGGGTCTCCTTGTCTGACAGATTTCTGGAGGCAAATATGGGGGGTCAGATTGTCGTTTACTATTACCCTGGTCGTCGCATTTGCGTGGAGAATCTCAATCCAGCGTCTGAAGTATATCCCAAAATTAAGTTTTTCCAGGCACTTGTCAAGAAAGAACCAATCTATATGATCGTACGCTTTCTCGAAGTCAACAAAGATGATTGCTGCATTGTTTGGACTGCCTTGTTAGCTTGATCATTTCATTAACTAGAAGGATGTTATCTTGAATATTTATGCCCTGGATGAAACCAGTTTGGTCCGGGTGGATGATGTCCGCCATTATTGGTGTCATACGGTTAGCCAGCGCTTTCGCTACCAGCTTGTAGACCACTGTGAGCAGGGTAATAGGTCTGTAGTTCCTGATATTGGTCCTTTCCCCCTTCTTGTAGAGGAGCGCCAACACTCCCTGCCCCACTAATTCGTCCGTTTGTCCTGTTCTCCACACCACATGGTAGTAATCCATGAGGTCTTGTGAGATACTCCCCCACATGGCTTCCCAAAATTCTTTAGGAAGCCCATCTAGGCCTGGAGTTTTTTCCTCTTCCATTTGTTTCAGTGTCATCCATATCTCCTCCTTTGATATGGGTATGTCAAGAGTTTCCTTCTGTTGTTATGAGAGGGTTTTATTTAATGGACGCAAGAATACATTTATCTCCTTGGCTCGTTTTGCTCTATCTTGGTCCTGACATTCTGAAGTGAATAGTGTTTGATAAAAACCTCTCGCTATCTTCGTGCAGGTGGCGGTAGATGTGTGGAGGGGCCCTTGGTGGCATTTTGGGTCTTCCAAAGCGTCAATTATCGACCTCCCTGTTTTGGCCTTGCATCATTTTTTAGCTTATGTTATTCGGACGACTGATTCTTTTTTGTTTCTCTTGTTTTTGAAACTATGGCTGGAGTCCCGCCTAACCAAGGTTGTTTTACTTGTGGATCTCTCCACCACTGGAGTCGGGAATGTCCGCAGAGATCTCATGGCTTCCGACCACCGGCCACAAGGGCAAACGCTATTCCCACTTCGACTCCGTTACTCGCTCTTCCTGCGCCTAACGTGGCTCCAGCTCCTGCGGTCAACCAAGCTGCCTCTGGTTCTGCGGGACACTCTGCCTTCAGCTATCAACCTCGTCCAAGAACAAATTGGTGGAAAGACAACCAGGAGCAGCTGGACAAGGTCTATAACAAGTTCATGGAAGATGAAGAGAAAGAAAGGAGATGTCAGGAGTTGGAGGAAAAAGACAGAGTGAAGAAGGAGGAGGAGACTAAACGGAGTGAATGGAAGAAAGAAAGAGAGCGGCTGAAAGCAGAAATCTCTGCCAAACTCGACAAACGTTTCGAAGAGCTTGGTCTTAAGCAAAAGGAGACACAAGAGAGCAAGGGTCTATCCGATGAAGTCACGCGTTTGAGGAAGGAGAATGAAGAACTGTTAAGAAAGATCGGTGGCGTTGCAAGTAATTATGAGGTGGATGATGAGTTGGCACGCCTTAAACGGAAAAACGAGGAATTGAGGAAGCGGCGCAGTAGGGCAAGTACTAGTCAGGATGAGGACTGTGTTTCTCGGCTCCAGAAGGAGATCTGTGAGTTGCGGAAGCAAGTGGGAAGCAAGCAAGTAGAGAGTGACGAGATTTTTGTATTGAAACAAGAATTGGGCGAGCTTAAACAATCAGCCTACATGAAGACTAACTTCGAGCAAGAGATCGTTGGGCTACGTAGGGAGGTGGACTCTTTACGCAGAATGAACGAGAGGGCGATGGAAGAAACCAAGCAATGGAAGGATGAGGCCCTGAGGCCGGGGAACAAGCGCGGCAGTGTGGTTGTGGATACACCAGCTATCTCAAACAGGGGTAATCCTAAGCCGAGATGGACAAAAAGTATGAAAGATGACAACAGGTGGAAGGAGGAATATAAGAAACTACAAGGACTTCATCGAGTGGCGAACGCGCAGGCTGAACTCCTGAAGGAGAAACGAGCGACTGCCGAGGTGAAACGAATGGAGGCAGAAGGGCAAGTGAAGGAGTTGGAGGAAAAGATGAGCCGCCTGAAGGCAGCGGAGGCTGGTAATGAACGAGTGGGGGGTGGTACTAATCTTAAGGACCGTTTAGAAGCTATGGCGTTAGGGTCAGCACGAAGGGGAAAGAAAGCGATGCCGGGAAGAGGCTCCTCGAAGGAAGACCAGGTGTCTAATGAGGTTAATGATCGCTTCCAATTTGTGGAAGAACAGAAAAAGCAATTGCGTAATCTCAAGAAGACGAGACTGGAGCTAATGTGTAAGGAAGCAGGAATTCGGACGGAAAAAGTTGATCAGATGGTTTGCGAATTAGCAGAATTTCGGGTTGAGCAGGCTTTTGGGCCTATATGGGCTAAGGATCCGGCATCCAAAGGTAAGCAGCCGGTGCATGTGGTAGAGGATGATTCGGAGCAGAGGGATGTCGACACCTCTGAGGAAGGAGATGAGAGGTCAGTGGAGTTATGAGGTGAGCCCGGACGTGGCTACGTTGTGGCTGCTGACTAATGATTGTCGAAACAAGCGTAAGGGGGTGGGCTTATTGCCAGGTAAATCCTCTATTCTATCTAATGACGGTCAGGTACATGATGATGCGTCTTTCTCCTCGGTCCTTCCTGTTATTTCTACTTCGACCTCTCTTGGCTCCTCTTCCCCTCTCGCCTCGTCTCTGCCATGCAAATTCCTCTCTTCTATGGTCCCAACCCTCCTTGATGATTCAATTCGTTTCTTGTGTGATAAAGCCTTTAATGGTTATTTTCGGTTACTAGTGATTGGACTTATTCTGAAAGGGCAGGTACCTTGGGCTGATAAGATTAAGGACTATATACTGAATCTGTTGGGGAGTGGCTATGATTTTGAAAGTTGTGAGGGACCCTTGGTGTACGTCCTCGTTTCTCCCTGGTCACGACACATGTATGTGGGGTCTACTACGCGGGATCTGCCGGTAAGATGGGGTGAGCACGTATACAGGGCACTGAGCCAAGGTAATGTCGAAGGAGGGCACCGTAATCATAAGCTGTACACGTGGCTGAGACGAGGGCGGGTTGGGGACTATGTGGCGTTACCACTGTTTCGATGTGATTTGGCTGATGTTCTTCATTTGGAGGGTTACATCATTAAGCTGTTGTGTCCTTATCTCAACAGTCGTGAGGGGATTGGGAGGAAGAAGTGGTGTCGGAAGGGTAAGTGGGAAAGGTTAAGATTGAAAAAGAAGGAGGCGGCTAATTTGGGATCTGGGGTCTCACGAACTCATTTGATTTTCCACCCTACCATTGGCAATAGATCTGCCCGACTGTCCGTTATTCTAGATCAATGCCTTTTTGTGCCCATTTCGTCGGTGGGTATTGTGTGCTCTGGGGGAGATCTATTTGCAGAGAACTGGAAGGTACTGAGAAGGAGGTTTGGTTCTTCCTTCATTACGGTAAATGGGCACACGGAGATTTTGAAGAAAGGGAAAGGGATGTTCAGATTTGACAAATATGTCTACGTCTCTATGATTGTCCCCTTCATGTGTAAGTCTCTGATTCTGAAGCCATCTTTGGCTGCCTTGCTGTCAAATTCTGTCTCTAGAAAGGAGTTAAAAACATGGGACTTCTCCGTTCTTGTTCGTGCTTTCTCAACTATCCGATGTTTTGCAGAGAAACGGAGTTGCTTTCTTCTCAGGTTGATCCTATCTGGGGTGATTAAGCGAAGGTTTGGCTGTAATATTAGACGACGCTTGGTGGTGAAGGTTACGTATGATATGACTCTGAGCAAGCCTGGAATTCGATCCCTTTGCTCTCGATTGGTCATGAGTGTTGAGGGTAATGAGGAATGAAAGAAGATGGTGGTACGGAGGATGAGAATTGTTTGGAAGAAGAACAAAAGTGTGGGGGATATTCTATTTAATTTTAGGGAATTTGCTCGGGGCAGTGATGTCTTGTGTGCATGTCCTACCATGACAAATGGATTCCCTCAGGTTAATGGTCATATTTGCTTCCGTTTGAACGAATTTGCTAAGGCACCGTCTTGGCTGCGAAATAACAGGAACGTGGCTCGACCCTCTCAGTTGAATGTGATTGGCCGTTTGAAGAAAGAGATTGGTCGTTCTTTTGAGGGAATGGATTTTCCAAGTCCCACGCTGCGGAGAAGGGATATGGTCGATTGCACGAAGGTAACACGGGAGGATGGCCTGACTTGCTGCTCTGAGGATGATGTGGTTCGTTGGAAGTTGTTACTAAAGGATCTGGTAAGAGTACGAATCGACCACAACCCAGGGGACACATTGGTGTGCTGCCCAGTGCGATACCGTGAAGGTATGAATACTCTTTTTCTGAAGAATCTTGGTTTCAGTGTTTGTGAGGAAGGAGAGCGATCTCTGCTATGCGAGGCCAAGGAAGAGTACATGCGGCGAGGGTTATCTCGATTAGCTAAATGAGATTCTACGGGGGAACTGGGAAAAGCTTACGCCATTCCTAAATACAAAGATTTTCAAAGATGGCGTCCTATTTGTCCCTCATTCTCGGAGTGCAATGTTCATGCCTGCAGGAAAGTCTCCCGTTGTGTCAATATGATGATATCGAGTTTACCTCGGCGTTCAAATTTCAACTTAAAATGTACTGATATGTTGGTGGAATCGTTGGTTGAGGTTAACAAGGATCTGGGGAGAAATGAGGGGTTACTCACAACAGCCTTTGACATCAAAGAAATGTTCTACAATCTTCCACACGGCTCTATCTTGAAGACACTCAGTTGGATTATAAATTTATGGGAAGGACGGGGAGTGAGAAGTATGTTGTTGAAGAACCGAGGAAAGGAGGGTAAACTACAAACTGGCAATAAGCAGGAGAGATGGCAGAAGGTTGACTTCGACCTCATCAGAGTCTTTGTGGGTTTTGATCTGGATCGTACCTACACTTCTGCGTGTGACCGGGTTTTGAAACAGAACGTGGGGATACCGATGGGCAAACCCTCCAGTCCAGTCATTGCATGTCTTCTATGTGCTTTCGCTGAATTCTCCTTTTTGGTGTCTTTGGGTTATGACCGACGTCTCATTCACGGTATTCGCTTGATTGATGACATGTCAGTTTTTGTCTGATATCTGAAGGACGATGAAGGCTCCAAGGCGAGGGCGGTTGACATACTTAGGAGTTTTTAGGCTTGCTATGACTGCAATTTGAAGCTGGAATGCACAAGCAGATTAGATGAATGGGATTTCCTGGGATGCACTCTCAGCAACTTGGGATGACCCATGGGGGTTAGATGTGCTCCTTTTCATAAGAACCAGAGGGTCATTTTGTCAGAAGGTATCTGCTTTCAAAGCATGCAGGACAATTGTTCTTTCGTGAGCAAGCAACAAAAGATTGTTGTGGTGGGATCTTTGATGCATCGGGCAAAAAAGTTCACGAGTATACCCTTGGCGGAAGCTAGTTTTCTCCTGAAATTAAAGGTTGAACTGAGAATGCGAGATTTCAAGGACGAGATTTTTTATCAAGCTCTGACCAATTTCTCTCTCAAGTTTGGTGGCGCTTGGGATGATTGGGTTGATTGCCTTACACTATGGGACCGCCTCTTCAAGTAATTAGCTTCTAGGGGGCACCTGAACTGACTCTGTTTTCTTCCTTTCTGAGGGGCTTGTGATGATCCTGAGTACTAGGGGCCACCTGTTTTCATCTCTCTCCACTGTCAGATGTGTTTTTTCTTTTTTCTTTTTTCTAGGGTCTATTGCTGTTTCGAACCAGCGATCTTAGTTTCCTTTTTCTGAGCTGGAATGGTAGGGTTAACCCGTTTTTTGTGTTTGTTTTTTTCTTTTTTGGGTTTTTGCTGGCTCGAACCTGAGATCTCAATCTATTCTCCCTCTTTCTCGTAATTCAGTCGGTGAAGGTTCTCGACCTCAAGACCTCTGTCTGATGCTCTGGGTTTCTTTCACCTGGGTTCGAACGTATGCACTTTTGGCTATCTGTCGGTTTCTAGGGTCTTCGCACTTTTGGCTATCTATCGGTTTCTAGGGTCTTCGCTTTTGGCCCGATAGACGTTTCCTCTCAAGGTTACCTTCTTGGGCTCGAACTAGCCGCCTGTCGGGGCCTTTCTTGTTAGTGGTCTATATGGGTGCACGACTTCTAGAGGTTACTTTCGGACATTCTGACTCAGCTCCTGGCTAGTTTTTTCGTCTAGTTTCTTTCAGATGGCTACGTTTCCTAAGGTCTTCGAAGTTTCTGATCCTACCTTTGTGTCTATCGGTTGTCGATGTTTTCTTTAAATTGATTGCTTGATACGTTAGTTGGCAACTTGTAGTGACGAAGACCCCTGACGATTCCGGTGCGGCGACCGGATGAAACGTAGGGTTACACGCCGTCATGTCCGGCATAGATGTTGATGAGGTCCGGCTTGATGCCTGCATACGTGCTGGACACTTGGAGCTGAGCTATGTTGACCAAATTTTTTTGAAGCTCATTGGGTCGCGTTCGGGAAGACTCTGACGTGTCACTTTCGATTTCTCTTCTTCCGCTTCATCTGATTATTTCCTTCCTACTTCTCTTCTATCTGTCTCTCGTCTGTTTTTCTCTCATCCTTTGACTTTATTGTGACATGTGGTCTTCATCTTGGGTGGATAGGCCATGTTGGCCGAATGTTGTTTGTTAATTCGGATTGATTTGCTGGTTATGCTAAATAGGCCGCTGACGGCCGACGTCTGATATCCGTGGCTAACAATGATGCTTGTGTGATGTGTTTTACGCCTTGCATACTTACCTTAGTCATTGCAAAGAACCTTGCATCCATTGCTCCTTCCATATTATGTTTAGAAAGTTTACCCCGGATCCTGACTCCTTGCCACCTGTGTTCCATGTGATTCATGAGTTGGTCTTCTAAAGTCTGGATGGTCTTAGCTAGCTCCGCTTGCTGTTCAAGGTCGTTGGTTTCATCTTCCTGTGATTGCAGTTGTCGTAGTTGATGTTGTAGCTTTACCTCCTCGGCGTGTCGACGCGCCGTGAGTAACTTTGAGTACTCATTGCACTTGCGGCTCAAAAAAACAAGACCGTTGTTGACCCACAATATATCATTGTTGACCTGGCCTCCGAGTCTCTGTGTTTTTCAGAAGGACTACACATCATTTAGATAGATAATGAAACGATCGTTGGATAAGAGGGATGTATTGAGTTTCTAAAAGTCCCTCCCTTGATCAGGTTTTCTCCTGAACGAGAAGGTGGCGAGACATAGCGCGTGGTCCAGACCCGGGTGGGGGCTGCTGGGGAATATCTCTGACATTTGAAGGGCCCCTTGTAATTCTTCTGAAATTAAGATAAAATCTATGCGTGACTTCGATGCTCTCTCCGTGGTGTTCTTACGATAACACGTAAAACGGCGCGCATTGGGGTAGCTCCTTCGAAAGGTATCGAAGAGGTTGAGAGATTGTGAACGTTTCGTGAGTATTCTCTCGTCATTTTCCATGTAACTTGGGCAGGGTGATGGGGTTTTCCATCTATCCAACCACCGGTCCAGAGCCGCATTGAAGTCCCCCACCAAAATCGTGGGGATGCCAACCGGTAGTTTGTCCTTTAAAGACTCAAAGAAGGTTTGTCTTGCCGCCGGGTAGTTGGGGGCATAAATATTCAGGATGCTTACCACTTCCAATTCCAACATTGCAAGTAAATAGACCCATCTGCCTTCTTCCTGGTATGCTGCCCAGTTGAGCATCTCCACTTTTGATCCAGGCGGGAGTCATATGGCGACTCCACCACTTCCGGGCCGTGGGGCGTGGGCGCAGAAGACCTGAT